ACAATAAATTTCTAAGAATTATCACCCTGCTCCTAAAATAAGAGTAGGTTCTTACAACAGACGGTAACTTCAGTAAGCTCATTCTACCTCCAGCGGTTTCATTTATAGACTTAATAAAGATTCTGAATAAAACAAAATAAAATAAATAAAGATATAAACTGAGGATTTCTTAAATTTTAGCTCCAATCTGATTCCAAAGGATCCAAATAAGAGACTGGCAGCGCTAATCGAAACTAACAACCTAGGAAAATGATAAGACAAGAATAAACTCCAATAGAATTGAACTGCTTAATTGTAATTAAAAATAATTTTAGTCAAATCACTTCTTTTAGATTTATTGTAAAGAGTATACATTCCCTTAAATGCCTTGTTACTTGGCCCAAACTCAATTCTTCTTATTCTTATAAACAAATCACTGGCTCATATATTTGTTGAAAGCAATTTCATCATCATCATCATCATCATTTCAGCCACATGACGTCCACTGCTGAACATAGGCCTCCCCCAATGCTTTCCATGTTAATCGATTGGTAGCGGCCTGCGTCCAGCGCTGCGAAAGCAATTTCATGTACATATTTTAAGCATCATTTCAGTGTCCAGCCTAAGTTTACCGCTCCTCCCTACAGTGTTGCCAATATAAATCCAATCTTGAAATGCTGAGTTTTCAAATCTGGCCATAAACAGGGGATAACGCGGTGATACTGCGGAACACTAAAAACGTGATAAAACGGGAATTATCTAAGGAACCGACTGTTATCGTTTGTTTTAGAGATTTTGTTTGAGGCACTAACGTTTCTCTAAAGGACAATAAAATGATCTGTGCTTATGAAATTGCCGTTTGTGTAAGTACCTATTTGCTGACTTCGTGGAGATCTCATAGTAATGTACCTACTACTGCTATTTTTATTTATTTATTTATATTAACCGGCAGACAGTGGTGACTGAGTTTGTTGCGGCGTTCTCAGCACTTGTCAAATTTTGGTCTCGAAGCGCTGGTAGGATAAAAGATTATGAGACATGTAGAGGCTCCTTAAGAGCAAAATGACGATTTGTAAGTACTATTTATTAGTCTAAACAAATAAAGTTTTGACTTTGACTTTGACTTTGAATCTTTATGAATACGGGCGACAGATTCAATCCCTCCTGAGGCAGTCTTTTCTACTTATAAATCACGTGTCACCTACATGTTAATACAGATACTCAATAACACCCTTCGGGCGATAGGGTTTTGTTTATCCCAAAACCAAAGGGTCGATATTTGGATAGGCACCGGAGCGAAGGCGATTCCTTGAGGAAGGGCTGGTCACTTGGAATAGGATCCGTAAGCGTTGCGGACAAGTGATCCGGAATGAGCGATGAGAAGCATAGCATGGGGAGAACAGCCAGGAGATAATAATAATCAAGTAATTTAATCTGCTAATCAGGAGAACGACCCTTTCCAATTTCATCATCATCATCAGATCATTTAGTCCCAGTTCTAGTTGCAGGAACACGACACTCCAATTTACCAGAGGCAAATGGAGGATATAGATTACACTCCCCACGCTGGCCAGGCGGTTCGAGGATACCTGATCTTCACAAATTTCACTTAGTCGCCTCTCACGACATCCGTGTTGTGTGCATACTAAAAAAAAGGATCGATATTTGGATAGGCACCGGAGCGAAGGCGATTCCTTGAGGAAGGGCTGGTCACTTGGAATAGGATCCGTAAGCGTTGCGGACAAGTGATCCGGAATGAGCGATGAGAAGCATAGGATAAGGAGAACAGCCAGGAGTCAATAACAAAATCCTATCCTCCATTGCAGGGCATCGATTCCCTCCAGTTTTATCACCATCAGGTCTTCTAATTTCCACGCTAGAATAAAGACTGTCTCTAATATTCCAGAAGCAAATGAAGGATTTATCTTTGTGGAAATCCTTAGGGGAGGCCTTTGTCCAGCAGTGGACCTTTTGGCTGAAACGACGACGATGAATGAAGGATTTGGCCCATTCTCCCCACGCACTGGCCAGATTGATAGAGATTGGGGACGATCGATGTTCGCATATTTCTCCCTTAGGCGCCTCTTATGTCATCCATGGAAAGGGAAAACGCAGATGGAGAAGAAATTTCTTGAGAGCCAAGGGCTGCTCACTTGGAATAGGATCCATAAGCGTTGCGGACAAGTGACGCGGAATCAGCGATGTGATGGCTTGGGGTAAACTGCCAAGACTTGATTATAAAAACCTTCATCATCAGGTCCTGCAGGAGAAAGATCTCTCTAATTTCATCATCATTAGGTCATTTAGTCTCTACTACATGAACACGACCATCTCTAAAAATTTACGAGAGCAAAAGAATTTCGCCTGCTCAGATGTGAACCTGAACGCATCTGAAGTAATCTGAACATCCTTTCAAATTGCAACTATTAACATATGTTTGCAGTATGAAATAAAAACTACAGATATTAAAATAAGTTGGCCGTGTTCCACAGGCTGTTAAAAGGGAGCCGCCATTGTAGTGACTTTTAAAATATGACCCACTTTTATGAAGAAGCGCTATTTTTTTGTTTAGGAAAAATTCTAGCATTATCAAGCGACTATACACTGTAAAACAACCAAACCGTGGGACTATTATCGTCTTAGTTCATGTAACATTAGTTCGCGATTTGTTTGGCTGCCTCTGATAATTAATATACAGGGTGTCCCAAAATTTGCACGTCATACTGACACCAGATGTAAATAAGCTTAAGACGCATGTAACAAGTATATTAAGTCCATTTTTAAAAATAACTAATATTATGAGTCATATTTCAAAACTCATCAAACTTTTTTTATGAAAACGAACAAATAAAATGGTTATATCTTAAAAGTTATGAAACTTTTCTGTGGACATTATAAAGCTTGTTCGATGCGTCTTAGACTCAGCTACCTCCAGTGTCAGTGTGACGTGCTTATTTTGGGACACCCTGTATGAATTCCTGTTGTGGTAAAGTAACAACAGTATTCCTTGTCGTCTATAGAAATACAAGATGAACATTTGGCATCTAATACAGATGTAATAGAAGCTACTTTGCGACAAAATGGAATAGTCCGATGAGCGACTGTCCAATAGGCAATCAACGCGCATCTGTGCGTCTGTCTTATTTAAAAATGCTGATTTAATGAAAGAGAGCTACTTCCTTGTCGATTTTCTATCTTCATTTAATCTGGTTCTGATTCAATTTGGGTTTTATTAGGTCAAGCTGTAGATCCTGGCTACACAGGAGTTGCAGCGGTGGGAACGAGAGGTGGGAATTGTACCGAATAATCGGCTTCTGAAAGTAATAATTCTGCATTCATATAATTTGAATTTTATGATCCTATATTTATGTAGTAGGTACCTAATCTTATAAATGTAATTAATAGGTAGACTAAGAATAAGTTCTTAAGATATAATCTAAGTACAATGTACAGTCGCGGAATGAAAAGGTTCGTCACCTTAGTGTCGGTTTTCGCTTGCATTAGGTACCTACTGTAAGAGTCAAACCTTCCAACATAACCGTGCAAGAAACAGTGCTGCTAACATTTAAATAAATATGACGTTTGCTAACGAATAAGCTTTTGTTTGTTTATTTTTCTATCCCATCAGTGAAATGTTACAAAATGTAGTTTTTTTATTTAATAGACTAGCTTTCCGCCCGCGGCTTCGCCCGCGTGGATTTTTGTCTGTCACAGAAAAACTTTATCGCGCGCGTCCCTGTTTCAAAAACCGGGATAAAAACTATCCTATGTTCTTTCCCGGGACTCAAACTATCTTTATGCCAAATTTCATCAAAATCGGTTGCGAGGTTTAAACGGGAAAGCGTAACAGACAGACAGAGTTACTTTCGCATTTATAATATTAGTTGGGATAATGGCAGGTTGAACCAACAAGAAGGTTTTAGTTTATCAATCATAATAATCTTTTTGACAAGTTAAATCGTCAAACAACTTTGATCTGAATAATTTTGAACTTTACTGACGAACAGTTAAAGATTATTTTCTCTAACTCGAGATTATTCTGTAACATAGTTTCAAAAGGTGTTATGTGCTCACGGTTCGTTGAAGGAATCAATTTGAAAACTGACGAACCTTTTCATTCCGTGACTGTACATTGACTCCAATTTTCTTACTATAGAACTTAGGTAAGTTTTCATTTAGTATTGGCTTATCTCAAGACTGATTTAAGATTATTTTCAGTATCAACTAAAGAAATTAGTACTGCCACCAAAGCAGCTTAGTCGAAATACTTTAAAAATATTTAATTCTACAAAGGATTCAAGCTAAATCAAACTTTTTTTCAACGGAATAAAACCGAAAGTCGTATAAAAGCACCTGAAAAACCCACTTCGTTAACCGTAACCATCTTGTAGTGCTATTTGCATTGTGAATGGCGGACACGAATAATTATTTTGAAAGCATAAAGTTACACGTGAAATTAAATGTTGTGTGAATTTGTAAAAAATACTCCTCAAAATATAATGATGACCTACCTACTTGAAAAACACTTCAATAACTGGCCAAGTGCGAGTCGGACTGGCGCACCGAGGGTTCCGTAGAAACAAATTATTAAAAATATTTGTTTTATTATGATGTTACTAAAAATGTATGCTTTTCGCAATTTTTCTTTTATCTGTGCTATAACCTATAGACTTTGCTTACCTTTCAAGATTCTGAGTTTACGGGAAGTACTTTGTAAGTTTTGATTCCCTTGCGAGTGTCGAAAATTTGCGGCATAAACGGCTGTATCTTTAGATTGCGTTGGCTTAGAAGTTTGATTTTTCAAAGCTCCAAAGGGACAGTAGACCTGAGTATTTGATATGAATTTCGACTTGATACCTCCACGCTTTCCTGAGAAAAAGGGTATTGACAATACAGTGTCAACAAAATAATAATAATAATAATAATAAAACGTTTATTTTCAAAACTCAACTCTCTGCAAGATCAAAACTCAACTCTCTGCAAGAAACAATCAAAACTCAACTCTCTGCAAAAAACAAAATAAAAGCTGTTAACACCTATGCAATACCCATTTTGACGTACTCCTTTGGAGTCGTTAAATGGTCAGACACTGAATTAGAAGCTCTTAATACCGCAACCAGAACAGCCAGCAATAAACACAACATTCACCATATCCACTCAGCAGTTCAAAGATTCACCCTAAAAAGGAAACTAGGAGGCCGCGGATTCATAGACATAAAAAACCTACACTACACCCAAATAGATAATCTCCGTAAATACTTTCTCACAAAAGCCAATGACAGTAAACTACACAAAGCAATAACAACCCTCCCCCACGCCGGAACACCCCTTCAACTGAACAATATCCAATACGACCCAAAACTGAAAATGCTCAAAGACGAACAGAAAATAGAAAACTGGAAGAAAAAAGCACTACATGGCAGGTATCCACATCAGTTAGAACAAGATCACGTCGACCAATCTGCATCATCCACCTGGCTTACAAAAGGTAACATATTCGGCGAGACTGAGGGCTTTATGGTGGCAATACAGGACCAAGTTATAAAAACCCGCAACTACTCTAAATATATACTTAAGGAAACAATTGAAACCGATAAATGTAGATTATGCAACCAAACCACAGAAAACATAGACCACATCACAGGAGGATGCAGCGTACTGGCCCACAAAGAATACACCCACCGCCACGACAACGTCGCTAAACATATACACCAACTCCTGGCTCTTAAATACAAACTGCTCGACACACATACTGCCTACTATAAATACAAACCAAGAAATGTCTTAGAAAACGAAACTGCAAAACTTTACTGGAACCGAGACATCATAACCGACCGAACNAAACAAAATAAAAGCTGTTAACACCTATGCAATACCCATTTTGACGTACTCCTTTGGAGTCGTTAAATGGTCAGACACTGAATTAGAAGCTCTTAATACCGCAACCAGAACAGCCAGCAATAAACACAACATTCACCATATCCACTCAGCAGTTCAAAGATTCACCCTAAAAAGGAAACTAGGAGGCCGCGGATTCATAGACATAAAAAACCTACACTACACCCAAATAGATAATCTCCGTAAATACTTTCTCACAAAAGCCAATGACAGTAAACTACACAAAGCAATAACAACCCTCCCCCACGCCGGAACACCCCTTCAACTGAACAATATCCAATACGACCCAAAACTGAAAATGCTCAAAGACGAACAGAAAATAGAAAACTGGAAGAAAAAAGCACTACATGGCAGGTATCCACATCAGTTAGAACAAGATCACGTCGACCAATCTGCATCATCCACCTGGCTTACAAAAGGTAACATATTCGGCGAGACTGAGGGCTTTATGGTGGCAATACAGGACCAAGTTATAAAAACCCGCAACTACTCTAAATATATACTTAAGGAAACAATTGAAACCGATAAATGTAGATTATGCAACCAAACCACAGAAAACATAGACCACATCACAGGAGGATGCAGCGTACTGGCCCACAAAGAATACACCCACCGCCACGACAACGTCGCTAAACATATACACCAACTCCTGGCTCTTAAATACAAACTGCTCGACACACATACTGCCTACTATAAATACAAACCAAGAAATGTCTTAGAAAACGAAACTGCAAAACTTTACTGGAACCGAGACATCATAACCGACCGAACCATACTAAGCAATAGACCGGACATCACGCTTACCCTTAAAGACTCAAAAACTACTTACCTCATAGATATTGCCGTCCCAAACACCCATAACCTGAAACAGAAACACACAGAAAAAATCCAAAAATACCTTCCTCTAGCTGATGAGATAAAACAAATGTGGCACCAAGATATCGTGAGAATTGTTCCCATTGTTATCTCGTCTACCGGCGTAGTCCCAAAAACCCTCAGTGCTGCTCTTAAATTACTTGAATTCCACAAAAACACGTACATATCGCTCCAAAAATCAATAGTTATAGACACGTGCTCAATAGTACGGCGCTTCTTAAACCCATCCACGCTTACACTACAAACCTCCTAAGACATCAAATGAACCAGGATACTTGGCATAAGCCCGTACCTGTTTCATTACTGCCGACTACGGTCGAGATCAAAATTCTTTTGGAAAAATAATAAAACGTTTATTTCAGACATTACGTATCCATATGTGTTAGTAAAATGATCCTTGTTTTTCGTTTTGAGTTCGAAACCTTAAAAATTTTTTTTCGAAATATTTAAGTAGGTACATGTTAGGCAAACATTAAATGCAAAAAAAGTCTTTGTGATAAAAAAAAATTCACTAATGAATTTTAAATATCCTGGAAAAATCGACTTGCCTAAGGTGGGAATGAACCCACGAATAATATTTTAAAAAAGAAAGAGCAAAGAAAGAATCAACCGCGAAAAATATTTGTTTATTTTAAACTTATATGCACATAGAATAGTGTACATAAGGCGGACTTTTTGCCTTTCAGCATTTTCCTCCGGTCAAACTTAGGGTCAAACTGAAAATAAAGTAGGCGGTATAAAATATATAATTTGCAGTTTATGTTTCAGGCTCTCTCAGTATGGTAAGGTATTTATGTTCTCAGTTTTAAACTAAACTCTTTCTTAAAGCACTTCAAGACATTTCTTCCATTTTATTATTCCTCAAGTTGTTATCCCCTGGGCTATGTCGTAATGAAACCCGCCCGATCCGTCTTCTGCACCTGGGCTCGCAACAACAATCCCTTCGCGATTTCCAATCAAATTATTGATACGAAAAAACTTCGAACGGGACACAAAAGCTGTTACGAATATACGAATATACACAACTTTTCTTCGGCAATCGGATAAAATGATGGGTCTTTATTTTATTCGTGCTCTTCTTGAGAGCGAAAAATTTGGCCACACTCCCCATGCTAGGCAGGCGGGTTGGGGAGGCCTGATGTTTACGTATTTGTTTCTTACGCCCGTATTCACAAACATTACTATGAGGTCTCACAGTACGCGTGGACGCTCAGGGTGACACGAACCAATTACATGCTCTAACGTTGTGTTTGTGAATACGGGCGTAATTCACTTCATAAGAGATCTATTTAAAGAATGGGAGTAGGTACTATTCTGTTTGCTTGTTTGTTGTTTGGTATTATTCTCAAGTTTTGTATAATAAAATCTATACTAATATTATAAAATGCGAACTCTTTCTGTCTGTCTGTCTTGCTCTCACGCCTAAACCGATTTTGATGAAATTTGGCATAGAGATAGTTTGAGTCCCGGGAAAGGACATAGGATAGTTTTTATTAGCGTTTTTGATGAATGTTTGTACACAAATAATAATCTCCGTGTATTTGAATTACATGACAATATTCATAGTAACAGGGTATTAATTAATATGCTAGTACTCGCAATTATTAACGTGTCAATAATGTTCCCAATTTATTGTTTGAATTGTATGATCTCGTTTTAGTATGAACATTTCAATGAAATGTATTATTCTGATTTCCATTCGTACTAATCCATGCTAATCTTATTTAATGGACCAATAACTACGGGGTCAATTCAACTGATATTTTAACTAGTAACTGAATTTAGGAATTTGTAATTTTAAGAAACATTTGAGTAAACGGTTGCTGTCACTGACCCTTTATAGGCCAGTAGAATTAAACACAAAAATTGATTAAATCGGAAATAATTCCTACAAAAGATTTTTTTGCTTTAATGGCTTCATTAGTTGCCCATTAAGACTCTCCTAAGTTTTCGACTTCGACGGAGTTGTGCTTAAGTGGTGGGGGCCCCCGAAAGGGGCGTTTTTTCGGTTTTCCGGTTATATCGCGTAAAGGACTTACCCTATCGAAAAGTGATCTTCATGACGGTTAAAGGGCACTTAATCCTGCATTGAATAAGACCAAATTCATATGTTTCGGACTAACCGTTCTCGCGCTAAAGTTCGGCAAAGTAGAAAATATACGTATAATTAATGACCCTCTCCACGTCCAATGGCTTGTTACCCACATGCTTCCAAGCCTTGTAAAGGGTCGCCTTAACCAGTGTAACCCTAACAAGGCTCACGAGTTTGATTCGCTTATCCTTGTTCGTCCCAGCCGTTCCTTAACTGCGGTTGCTGCACCTCTTCCTGGCACTCTCCTGAACGACTCTGTGTTACCTAATGTGGCTGCCCCTCTTCCTTGTACCCTCCTGTACGATTTCATTGCTTAGCCATATGCCTGGTCCAAGGTTCGACGCCACAAAATCAACTTCGTACGAGTGAAAATAGTTTAAATACTATTTCCCGTGCTTGCAACATTTTTCTTTACTGCTTCGCCTCTATTAGTCGTAGAGTGATTGTATATATCCTATAGCCTTCCTCAATGTATGAGCTATTCAACACAAAAATAATGATTTCAATCAAACTAGTAATTCTTAAGATTAGCGCGTTCAAACAAACAAACAAAAAACTCTTCAGCGTTTTAATATGAACTTGTTGTTGTTGATTTTTGGCGTCGAACCTTAGACCAGGCATACGGCTAGGCAACGTAGTCATGCAGGAGGATACAAGGAAGAGGGGCAGCCACAGTAGGTAACACAGAGTCGTTCAGGTGAGTGCCAGGAAGAGGTGCAGCAACCGCAGTTAAGGAACGGCTGGGACGAACAAGGATAGGGTGCATCAAGCTCGTAAGCCTTGATAGGGTTACACTGGTTGAGGTGGCCCTTTTCAAGACTTGGAAGCCTGTGGGTAACAAACCATTGGACATGGAGAGGGTCATTAATTATACGTATATTTTATACTTTGCCGAACTTTAGCGCGAGAACGGTTTGTTCAAAACATATGAATTTGGTCTTATTCAATGCAGGATTAAGTGCCCTTTAACCGTCATGAAGACCACTTTTTGATAGGGTAAGTCCTTTACGCGGTATAACCGGAAAACCGAAAAAATGCCCCTTTCGGGGGCCCCCACCACTTAAGCACAACTCCGTCGAAGTCGAAAACTTAGGAGAGTCTTAATGGGCAACCAATGAAGCCATTAAAACAATAAAATCTTTTGTAGGAATTATTTCCGATTTAAAAGCTAATTCTACTGGACTATTATGATTTAAAAGAGTTCTTTGATTGACTTGCTGTAGTTTTTTTCTTTGCTTTCTTTAGAATCATCGCTAAATTATTTTATGTTTCTACTTTAATTTTTGCATGCTAACTAATTTTAGCTAAACATGTATCGTTCTCACTATCTGTATCTAACATATTTGTATACCATGTTTAATTGCAAATAAATGATTAAATTACGGAAAAAACACAAAAAGGACACTAATCGTCCCGTGAAGTGCTTCATTCACCGTGGCTAAAAATTCATGAAAATATTATGCACAGTTTCCCATCACCCAGGTCCTACCTCGAACCGTTTTCTCGAAAACGGAACGCAAACGTTTCTATTTGGAAAAATATTGGCCCGCCCTGTAGATTATACAGGATGTTGATTTCAATCCTCGTGATATTATTATGTAACGCATTATACACAAAAAAAAATTACAAGCGAAAGTGGATTTTTTACCGAATATTTTCCGTGCGACATCAATACTGTACTGTGGCTCGCAATACTGCAATACGTTTACACGGCGGCACTATCGAGCTACACCTCCGATCATAGAAGGGAATATATGTGAAACGGGGGCGTGGCGCGTGTCTCCGCGATATGCCCAGAAACGAACATCGGCCGCGTAGCTAGGTTAGTCGCGATTCAGTCGTACTAAGGAAATGTTCTCCGATATTTTGGATAATGCGTCGTTACGTGCAATAAAACAAGTGAAACGAAGAACTACAGGAACAATGGAGTCATTTACTACATGTAAGTATTGCAAATCCATTGGTATTTTGCTTATAAATAATAAAACTAAACATTTTTACGAACTAATTCAGTGCCGTAACAGTTACTGTGATATCGAAATCAGTGGTGATAAAAATTCTAACACACTTGTATATTGCCGATTTAGTTAGCTGGCTGGCTGGCTCAACTACCTCCCTGACAATTTTCAGCTAAATCGGTTCAGCCGATCTTGAGTTATAAGTGGAGTAACTAACACGACTTTCTTTTATAATATAGATTTCTTCCGATATCCACTGTCGTGTGAAAATACACAGTACGGCCGCATGTGCCGGTCGTAACATAGTGCCGTGCTCGTGTTCTAATGCGGTTTCCTATTATCGATAAATAGAAGTAAATTATAATTTTCTATTTTCTAATTTTAAATAAAAAAATGATGTGTTACTTGCGATTATAAGATTTTACAAAAAAAAAATAACAGTAGAAGTAACTGTCAACTATGTAATTACTATAAGAGCTAGTTGAAAGCCTAATATAGGCATTATTTTTGATAAACATATGCGGTACGCAGATCGCCATAATTAAAAAGTAAATGCGTGATAGTAGTTAATAATAACGTATACTAATAAAAAGGTTTTCATACATAAGAATTTTGTGAAATCAGTTTCGAGCCTTGCCCCTAGCGATTTAAAGTATCGATAATGTTGTCGACTCCATTTTATCTTTCTTCTCTCACTAGCGTTTTCAAAGTGTGCGTCACGTCACGCGGCCATTTAACTTTTAAGCCGGTTGCACATATTGTCGTAGACTCTCAGTCGCTTTGTTTTTACACAGTTGAATGTGTGTGTGGGAGCTGTGGTGGGGGAAATGTGGGGACACTGGTTCTCGTTGTAGTTACGCGCGACTTCATATCTATTCTCTTTCTATGATCTGAGAGCTACACGGATCGCTCATTATCATGTCAAATAGCCTACTGAAGGAAGCCACGTAAAGTAGTTAGTGTAAATAAGTAAGTTTCTTTGAGTAACTAAAGTTAAAATTAGTTTTAAATTTTTTTCGATGTCAATTTTTTTACTGATTCGTGATCAGAATAAACTACTTAATCAAGTCCCTAAATATGGCGAGGATCAACACCCTGTATGAGTACTGGCTTTAGTACGTGGCTTTGCCTGCGTTCGCTCTGTCACAGAAAATCTTTCATCGAGTGCTGTAATTTTCCTACAGACTGATCTGTTTTGCTACATTAGCGCATGTTTTGCGTTTCCAAACATAACTGATTGATTGTTTATAGCGAGTGAGATCTGGTTAGTATACGATTTACG